ACAAATGGTAATTAAATAATTTGTAATAAACAACAATTAGAACATAGGTTATTTCTGGGTTGCCATAAGGGGTTTGATTCTGCATGCCCATCACATCTGGCCTGGAAAATCCAAAGCACAACATAGCATCACAGAGTTAATGTTTTCTATGTCTCTTTGCTGTGGCTCTAGATTTTGCAGTTCAGATGTGTAAACCCAATGTCTACATACAGTACTGTAGATGATTAATTTTTCTGGTGATAGAAAATTAGAGAACAAGAGAACAAAACTATTGGCCTGTTCCTTTAATAAACAAAATTACTTTCACTTAAAGCATCTTGTCCTCTGACCCTGAGATTTGGTTAACTGCTAAATTTGCCTCTTGATAAGATTCATCTTAGAAGATATGAGATACCATTGAGTTACAATCTTAGGAAGAAAGACCGTGTAAATTTAAATTCTTACCCAAATAATAAAAACTTTTCTTTCTTCTTTGATACATGTAAGAGTATACAAACTGTATCTATTCTTAGCTCAGAATTATCTCCTTTGCACAGCTCTGAGTAAATACATATATAACAGAAGAAAATGAAGAAAAAGTAGAAGTCTTACATATATATTTCTCCTTAGTTAACATGAGAATTATCTTCCAGTCTAATGCTGAAAACAGATGCTTTCTCAATGTACTGATCTCAGTAAAAGGTTTTGACTTGACACTACTTTGAAAACTGTTGATATACTTCTTTAACATATTGGAAATAGTACATAAAATGCCAGTAGTAAAGATATTTGTATAATAAATTAAAACTGCTATGGCTTTAATAATATCCCAACTGATATAGAGAGCAAATTTTGATTTGAGCATTAATGGTAATTAATACTTGCTAGATGTTTAGAAATTAACAAAGATAAATGTGACTTTTAAAAAAGAGCAAGTTTTTCAATCAATGCAGCATATTAAGTAATCAGAAAAAATCATAACCTTTTGAATGCAAAATAGTTTTGTGTTTGAATATTATTTCTGTTCATTTAGTATATATAAAGTTCACATTTATAGCTTTTTATATAAATATCGGTGCTTAAAATGGACAGTTCTACTAAATAAAAAATGCTATCAGAAATACACACAAAAAGCAATGAACATTATTTCTCAAACTAATACAAAAAGAACTCTATTGGATTAGATTTGCCATCAAACAGTTGAGAAAGTATTTAATTCAAAAACACACTTAATTTAGCATATGGTAATAGAACTACAACAAGATATTGAAATGCAGTTAAGAGTATGCAAAGTAGGAAAGGTAATGAATTAGTCTACATTTATTATATCTTCTGCATATCTTCCTATGTAGTGGTATGTGGGATTTTTGCTGAAAGATGCTGCCTAGGGAATGGTCAGATAAGAGGGAGCCTATAGCTATGGACAGAGCAACAGGCTCAAGAGGGACCCACCCTAAGTTATTCTGCTATAAAGGTGATGGTGGGGGAACTGTAATTTCAGATTTCAAGATTCTGTTAATGTACCTTTAAATAAAGTAGAATTAGTTTATCTGGCCATGTTTGTTCTGGTCTATCTCATAAGGCTGACATCAATCTTGCAATTCAGAAAGTACAATTCTCCTACCATCACTTTTACAGTTGAAACTTGGGACTTTTCCTTGGATAGGATCATTTTACTCAATCTCTAAGGACATTCCCACATACTATTAAATCCTGTGATTTACTTTATCAGGCAACATTTTGAAGCATTTTTATGATTGAATTGTACTGTTAATTGTCTGTTCTGACTGGCAGAAACCAAGCAAATTGAACTTATTCATGTGACCTGAAGACATAACTGCTATGTTCAACATAATATTAACCCTGCAACTCTATTCAGAAATAAATCTTGCCATTCTGAATGGTGTCTTAGTAAAATTCTGATATAAATCCATTGGAATCAATGAGCTCGATTCCTATATAAACAGGCCGGAATGTAATCCTAAACAAACATATCTTGCTTGAACCAAGTGATGGAACAGTGTAAGCATTTATTTATATACTATTAAAACTCTTTGTGTTTGTAAACTTTAACTGGGTGAAACAGTTCACCATAAAGCAAAATCTTTCAAACGAGTGTGACTCAAATTGCAAAACTTACAGAATGGATTCAAATTAGAGGATCCCAGAGTCCCACGAAATTGAAATTTAGCAATTTTTATAAACCAATTTATGATATAAAAATGATCTTAAGAGCATAATGTAAATACAAAATATCATCAAACATATCCTGTGGTCAATCTCTGATATTTGTCTGTGACATAAAGTTCAATATGGGCTACTTTCGAGACAGATACATGTCAAGAGGATCTCACTGAATTTTAAGAACTTTTCAGTACATTAAAAGCTCTGCCACTGTTGATGGCACTGAGGAATCTGGTAATATTTCTTAAGTGGTGACCCATGGGTTGTCTATTGCCTCCTTAGAATTAATCCTCAAAGCGTTAGATGCCTACATTGCTTTATCTTTATACTATTAAAACTTTTCTGAGCTCATTGGAAAACTAACACAAGGCCCCATTGTGTATCATTCATTACCTTGCTTCATTAAGGCGTGCCCAATTGCATGGAACAATAGAAATAAAATATATATATGAATATAGCACAATGTATAGTAGTAAATGTATAGTAGTAAATGTATTCTTGAAAAGGGAAAGATAAGGAAAAAAATAGCATAAATGTAGTTTTTCAACTTCAACAACAAAACTGAGAAATGTCCTCTATCTGTCATTTTTTTTAAAAAGCATACAAATAGTCACTCAGCTGAAAACATGTGTCACCGCAAAATAATAACATATATGAAAAAAAAAATTGAAAATGTCATTCATGTAAGAAGAATGTTTTTCCATATGAAGGGAAAAGGCAACATAAAGATAGGTAAGGCAGCAGAGGCAACAGTTTTCAGAAAGATGGAGACCATAGCAAGAGCCAAACTGTATCAGATGGGCTTGGAAGGTGAAGGAAATGATGCACAACAATAAACTGTTGGGGAAAAAAGCAAATAATGCATTAAAAATTGAAAATTGAAAATACTTTAAGGCACTCTCCTAATTTATTAATCTAGAAATACATACTACTATAATCAAGTATATTTTTAGACGTTCAAGAGCTACTAATGAAAATAATAGTAAAAGTGGGGAAGCATCCTTGAGGAATAACATATTTTGTCCAAATAAGCTTTTTAAAACTCACAGATGTTATATGTTACCTTTGAATATAATGCATATTCAAAAAGGGGTGAAAGATATTTTTAGAATCTTTGATCACAAAAGACTAGCAATTCGAAATGTAACATTCTTGGACAAAATCAATATACATAATTGGAGCATGCAGTTGTTATATACCTTACTGTGTGTATACTGTGTGTATACACATACACAACATATATAAACTATAAAAATCAAATAACAACAACAGCATAATTGACAGTGTGACTCATTCTCTGGGGTTATTGCTGCCAGCAAGAACATAATTCAAGCACATACAATCTCAGGTATATTTCTACAAATAGGGTTCTTGTGGCCAAATAGAATCATGTTTTGAAATATTTCAAATGGTCCTAATTTATAGTGATAACTCACTATCTACAATCCTGTATCAGTTTACTCCTCAGCAGACACAAATAATGTTATGCTATATCCTAATTATATTTGTCTTAAGATAAATTCTACTAAATTTAATATGATATACCAATTAGTAGGCCTTTATGGAGCTGTTAATTAATTAAAGCCTCAGCAACTATACATGCAATAAATGTATGAATCATAACAAATCTTCACAAAGTGAAAGTTTAATCAAAATCAGATTTTAGGCTAGAAGAATATAAGAAATCATATTAGTAAACTAAAACAGAAAAATCTACTATGGATGGATAATATGAGATTTGTGTGCAAAATATTTAAAGGACCAAATGTTAACAAGACAGAATTGTACTTGAACAGAACATATTTATTTCCTTTTAATTTTTTGAAGATGTGAAAAATGTGGACATAAACCTGAGAAAGGCAAAATAAAGCAGTTATGCACTGGTTAATAACACAGCTCTAACCTATGGCAGTTATGTGTATTTTTCAGGTGCTGCTGCATTCAGAGAGACAATAGGAACTTGGTGGCAGATAAGGTAACCCAAGAACTGAAGGTAACCAATAAGCCCTTCTCCAATTTTAATATTCAGAATTCCATAGCCAGCATGGTTAGCTGGTGCATATTCTGGGATTTGAACTTCATGCATCTTAAAAGCTGCTAATATTGGGGAATGCTGGCCCTACTTAGTTAGCAGAAACAAGTCTCTGGAAACAAATAGTCATTGTGGGTCCTGATCACATATTATAAAATTATCCAGAAACTCCAAGAAACCCAGTAATAGCCTGTTTTTAATCTCTTTCTCTTTCCTTTTCCCATTCACTATTCCAAACTGCAAATGTAATTATGTTTTAACATTTCAATTACAAATAATTCAAATATACATTTCTTACTATTTTTTTTAGATTAATTGTTGCTTGGGAGAACCCCTCTTTTTTCTTATATGCTCCTTACATTGATTCAACATTATTTTTGAAATAAATATTGTTATACTCTATGAAAAATCAAGATTTGGAAAAAGATTTAGTGGCTCTGTAATTCAAGTTCTTAAGCGGTATAAGGGTCATTAAGCACCGTAAGACCAAACTATTATTTTCATGGGAAATGGACTATAAAATTCCATAAAAGTAAAAACAAAACAAAAATAGTTAAGTAAAATGTAACATCAAACTCAAGTGTTACCATCCAAATGCCAAAATTGTCATATCTGAAATCATGAACTTAAATGACTACTTCCAAAAAAGGTTTGGCATGATTGACTCAATATATTAGTCAAGTTCATATCATACATTTAAGATTTTAAAAGGAAACATATTGATAAGGAAAGCACATATATGACTGGAAACAGAACAGAGGAAAGTCTGGAAAAGAAAGAGAAATAGACAATTTTTCAAACATACTTTTAGATACCAACTGGGTTGGGTCTGTAACATCTGCTTCATTGTACAATGCAGCTGGGTCCAAGGTATCTTTGTCAGGAGGAGGAGGGTATGATGGGGGTGGGGGGATCACTAACTGGGGTGGATCTCGTATATTGCCTCTAGGAGGCTTTTGAGGCACTTGCTGTTCATTACCTATAGGGGAATCAATTGGAATTCACTAGTTACTATTACCATCAAATCAGATGCCTATCACATTTGCTCTACTGTACAATGCTTTTTGCAGTAATTTACATCACAATCACCTTCTGATTAGTGTTTGGAAATTACTACTCCAAAGTATTAGCTGCTTGTCAGTTTTAATGTATTTTTCAAGGAAATCTGAAACTCCAAAGCAGCATAATCATATCACAACATAAATAGTTAGTGTGCCATTTACCATTGCTTCCTCAAAATGAAATGTTTGGTTGTGAGTCATTTGAAATAATCCATTGTTAATCTTTTTTTAACATGTATTATTCTCTACCTGACCTTTGTAATTAGCATACACACAAAACACAGAGCCAGTCATATATCTAGAACTGTCATATAATCTTAAAAATTATGTATAGCTCATACAATTTCATTAAAATGTTACTGCCAACATAACCAAAAAATGTACAAACCAACTTGCATTTCTCTTTATTTATTTAATTGTATGCCACCAAGATCAGCTGCTAACAAGATTAGCTGCTAGTGTTTCTGGGCTTTAGCCTCCCAAGTTTCCAAAAATGTGAGGCAACCAGCTGCTTCATCTGGCATAGGCAGAGTGCACAGGCCACCTCTAATGAAGAGAGGTGATCTACCAGATAATCAAACATCAAGCCATAAATAAAGTGCTTTATAGGTTAGTGTCAGCACTTTTAATTGCACTTGGAAAAAATAGGAAGTCAGTTCAGCATCTGAAAACAAGTGCAATATGTATTAAATGGTCAACCAACATGAGCACTTGGGCAATCTCATTTTATACAAAGTAAAGTTTCTAGATCATCATTAAATGTAGAGTATGTTGCAATAGTCTACATGGGTGGTGATGAGGAGGTGAACCACTGCAGTGACGTTTTCTCACCATCTTCCAGCCATGGCTTTATATGCTAATCTAGCAAGAGCCACAAGTTCAGGAGGATCTGAAGCCTCCTACTCTTCCAAGGGCTATACTCTCTATATCCAAGCAGTAGGCTCAGGGTACCACTGTTTTATAAACAGAACTGTCAACTTAATAGGTTTGCTTTAAACTTATTCTCGCCCAGCCAGGCTCATATAGCCTCCAAACATAGAAACAAGACTTTGATAGCATCTCTGGCCCAGAGTTTGGAGTTGCAATATATGATTGGGTGTATCATCAGCATATTTATATCAGACTACAAAGTGCTGGATTACCTCCCTCAGTGGCTTCATGTACATAGAGAGAAAGGGAAGTGCTGATTCCTGAGATACCCCATGGGAGAATCTATGCCCTTTGACTGCTACCTACTGAATTGACCACTGAGGAAAGAATGGAACCACTGCAGAACGGTGACTTCAATTCCCGCAACTGGTGCAAAAAGATACCATGGTTGATGATAATGAAAGATTGAGAACCAGGACAGGTCATCAAGCAATTTATATTAACAAATGTATGTAGAAAATATAGCACAGTAGTAATGAGAGACTTTAACTATTCTGATTTCAACTGGGAGACAAATTCTGGAGCAAATGGGAGATCAAACAGATTCCTAACCAACCTAGCTGACAACTTTGTCATCCAAAAGGTAGAGGAGAGAATTAGAGGAAAAGCTATCCTAGACTTAATTGTTACTAATAGAGAAGAAGTGATAGAGGAAGTTTAACTTGCCAGAACTTTAGGTGTGAGTGATGACATTATATTGAAATTCAATATAAGGCAAACACAATAATGCAACAGAACATAATCCAGCCAGTGTTTTAAACTCAGAGAGAGCCTAAGAAAAATTCCATGGATGAGAATTCTAAAGGAGAAAACAACTTAAGAAACATGGGAAACTGAAAAATATGATCATAAAATCCCAGTCCAGCACAATAACACTGAAACAGAAAAACAGTAAATCCAAGGAGAAAGCAGCCTGATTGCACAATGGTCTCTCTAATAAACTGAAAGCAAAAAGGACAAGTATAAATAATGGAAATAAGGATATATAACTAAGGCAGAATAGCAGATAGCCCGAATCTGCAAAGATTAAGTCAGAAAGGCAAAGGATCAGAATGAACAAAGACTTGCAATAAAAGTCAAAGATAATAAAAAAAGATTCTTTCAACATATAAATAACAAGAAAGCAGTAAGGCAACTTACACCCTGGTCAGCCTTTCTTTATTCTCCTACCATCTGGAAGGAGATATAGAAGCATAGGCAGCCACACAAACAGGCTGAAGTACAGTTCTTATCTGTGGGCTGTCAGACTCCTGAATGAAAAATAACTCTTCAACAGCATAGTACGATTGATTTGCGAGCCAGTGCAAGATGTGTAATAAGTTCACATAGTGCAATAGGAGTAGTTGTTTATTAGCAGGATTCACTGGGCTAGGGATTTTTTGTCTTTCACGGTGAGTTGTATTGTGTTGGGGAGGTGCACGAAGAAAGGCTCAGCCAATCTCATTGTATACACGTTGTACTCTGACAATAAAGATTTGATTTGAATCAAATTAAAAGAGAAGATGGCAAGGAAGTAACAGGCAGCAGAGAGAAAAAAACTGCATCAGATTCTTTACAAAAGGGCATCAACTTACTTTTCTATGCACCAGAGGACAGGACAAGAAACAATGGATGGAAACTAAATAAGGAGAGAAGCAACCTGGAATTAAGGAGAAACTTCCTAACAGTGAGAACAATTAATTGGTGGAACAGCTTGACCTCAGAAGTTATGGGTTTTTTTTAATCACTGGAGGTTTTTAAGAAGAGACGGGACAATCACTTGTCTGAAATAGTATAGGGTCTCCTGCTTGAGCAGGGGGTTGGACCAGAATATCTCAACCTCCATCTCTACTCTGATTGATTGACTGAAATCATATCTCAAATTTTAAAACCATAAAAAAGATAGAAAGTTCATCAAACATAAAACTATATAATCATAAGAAATTTTTCAGCTTCATTAAGTTTGTTAAATTTTTATAGCCAAATGCAACATTTGTGTCAGAATTATTTATTTTACTTTTTTCTACCAGTTGTATAAACTGCCTAACAATGGGAGTTTCAGATAGCTGCACAAATGTGCAAATTTTTTTATGTTGTTTCCTGTATTTTGGTGAATGAGAAAAGATCACAAAATGTTAAAATCAGTTAACTTTATTCATATTCATGGATCTTAATATATTAATATTAGTGTTAACTAAGAACTTTCCAATCAATAAATACTATTCAATAAATACTGTTCAAATGCTATGGCTTTATCTAGCTAATTAAAGATTGTCAATTCCTACTTAGTTAATTATACACTCAAAGAATGAAAAATCATTTGTCATCTTTGTTGAGAATAAGTCTTGTACTGAAGTATTATATTAACAGATAATATATTTCAAAAATATATTCAAATGTGCAAAAATGTGCTTACCGCACCTTAAGTATTAACATACTGTACATCATAAAAATTTGCACATACTTTTAAATGTTTATGCATTAAATCAATTTGCAAGAAAGACATGTTAAAGCTTTGAAGAACTTAGTGAAGAAAGACAGAGGATTTTTTTTTTAAATCAAGTTCTAGGATATTATTTGAAAGCACTAAAAATCAAGATTGTTAAAAGTAAATGGTAGTTCATCTGATCATTATCTATTCAAATAGTAATAACCCTTGGGGGACTTTTGCTGATCAGGAGTGAAAGCTGGAAATATCTCTTTATAGATAAGAAGTGTAAGAAGTGAATTATGAGAAGCGATGACTGGTTATATTTTAAGGAAAGGTGATAAGTTATTAAAATTGCTTATACTTGTGATGAAGGAAGAAGGAGGCTATATCCTTGTTTTCTTTCTAATTTTCTGCACTTTCTTGTTTTTCTTTTTTGAATTAAATATTTAAAAATATTTTGAATTAAATTTTTAGTAACATTATTATTAAAGAAAGAAAAAATAGATGATCAAATACTTCATTGTTTCCAGACTTTCATTCTGTTATGTTAATAGTAATATTTTGTAAACTGGGATATATTTTAGGATTATTGTTGATGCATCACACAACCTGCAAAGCAGCAAAGATCACATGCACTAGTGTCAAAACTAATCGTCCTTACCAATTGTACTTTGTCTTTTATTTTCTTCAAATCTGTTCAACGTTTTATAAGTTGGTGGAGGAGGAGCAGGTCTCTTTTTCTTTTTTATTTCATGTTGCAATGAACTTTGAGGCAACTATAAAGACAGAAAAAAATTATGTGGACATATATTACATATTTTGTATATTTGAAGAAATATTAATAGACCAATATTTGAGCCCTTTGTTTTCAGTGCCATGTTCCACTAGACTAAAGACAAAGGCATTAAGGAATCCTTTACTCAAGCAGCTAGTACTTGAAAATATTCTTCTCTAAACTGGCAATAAAATTACATTCCCAGGATTAATTACCCTCAATAGACTGTCTGCTGTGTATATCATCACTCCCCATCTAAACCTATTAGCCTCATTTATTATAAAATATGTAAAAAAAGAAATGTATTTTGTATATTCTAAACTGTAATCATCTCCCCTGGATTAACCATCCACATTTTCCACGTGTACATGTTTTATAAACCTTGATCATAGTGACCTAGTGATTTTTTTAGTGGAAAACTCTCCACCAGCATTTTCCCACATAGAAGAGATAGTGTCAATTCCACTATCATTTTATTTGGCTTCTTGCACATTTTTTGGTTTTTCAGTTGTGATAATCAGAAGTGCATCCAGTATTTCCTGGGCAAATGTACCCATACATATATGCATATATGGGATTTACCAGGTTGACCAATTTATTTTTAGTCCTTTTCCTTCCTAGTTTGGAATTGTCTTTTTTACAACATCTGCAGTGAGTCAAAATATTCATCAAATCATCAATTATAACACCAAGATTCCCCCACCCCCAATCAGTTACAGACATCTCAAATCTCATCAGGGTATATGTAAAATTAGGGTTTTTGTCCCCAAGTGCATGACTTTTACATTTGTTTAAATTGAATCACATTTAAAGGAAAATATTTGTAGTACAAGGTTGAAATAAGAGGTCCTTGGTATTCTCTGAGCTTGTTTGTTTTCTTGAGGATGTTACATTACATTACATTAGGAGCTGAGGTGGTGCAGTGGTCAGAGTGCACCACTGCAGGCTACTTCAGCTGACTGCTAGCTGCAGTTTCGCAGTTCAAATCTCACTGGTTCAAGGTTGACTCAGCCTTCCATCCTTCCAATGTGGGTAAAATGAGGACCCAGTAGTTGTGGGCAATATGCTGTCTTTGTAAACCACTTAGAGAGGGCTGTAGAAGCACTAGGAAGCAGTATATAAATCTAAAAGTTATTGCTATTACCCTAACTAGGTAATATAATTAGTGATTTGCATGATATTACCTAGTTAGGGTAATGAAACCTTTGTAAGAAAACAAGCAAACTCAGAGAGCACCAATGACCCCTGAATCACATTTGCCATAAGGATAAGCCTTCATTCAGTTTATCAACATCCTTCTGAAGTTTTACAATCTCTTCATGTTTACCAACTTTAATAGCTGGTACTACCTGAAAATTCACTCAATTTGTTGTTTAAGATCTGATCATTTCCTAAGAAATAAAAGATATTTATAGTATTATATTTTATCCCACTTTCCTTTCAGGAGTTCAGAGTGATGAACATGGCTTTCCCTCTTCCAGTATTTCTTTCCAACCTCCCTTTGAGATACAGCATGCTAAGAGATCCAGTGAATTTCTATGGTTGAAGCTACAATTAAACAGTATCCCTGATGCTAATTTAACATCTGTTTCACTAATTCACACTGAGTTTTCTTGTTACTAGTTTCTCCAATATGCTCCCTGGAAAAGTCAGTACATAGTACATAGAAACAGTTATCTTTTAGATATATGCAAAGAATGTGTTCATTTTTTCTGCAATCTCTGTATCATCCTTGAACAATGCTTTCATTCCTGTGTTATCTCATGGCCCAATTGCTTCCCTGACCAGTTTTCTGCCTTCCAATGACTTTGTGGTATCATAGAGAAAAAATGATCTAGAGAATTTGGCAGGGTATGTTGATGATAATCAATTCATTTTGGGGGGCAACATCTTTAGTCTGTCTCCCTAAATGGTTGCCTATATGTGATAATCAATTAGGTGAGGGATAAGTTGAAACTGAATCCAGAGAAGACAGTGGTATTTACTATCACAATTGCAGATAGACAGTTTTTCTTTTTCGGAAGGATTAAACTCTTCTAGAATGAGCAGATACACAATGTGAGATGCTTCTGACTAATATCTGTCTCTACTTGTCAACAGTGAGGGAATGGCCAGAAAATGACCAGTACTGTTTCTGATCAGCTAGGCATTGTCAGGAACCTGTTTGATCCTTTGCTTGATGCAGAGACTACCCTAACAGGGAGACAAAGTCCCCCATTATTATGTATTAATTATGTATTAAATGTATTATCAATACATTTCATTGGATTATTGATTACACTACTGAGCAGCTCTTACAATGTGGGTTTTTTTCCTCCCTTTGAAAGTTGAAAAGATAAGTGTAAAGATGGATATTTTAAGTTTTTTTAGTTAATTTTAAATTTAGCATTGTAACTCAATTTGATGGGGCCCTGAGTAAGGTATAAAAATGTCAAATAAAATATCAGATAATAGTAATATAAATGCAGTAATTTTATAATATAGGAGTGAAGGAATGTAGATCAGGGATGATATTAAGACAAAATTAAGATATTAATTCCAGGATAGGAATTGGATAATTACTTTACTTATTGCTAATACAGAGTTCTTTTTCCCCCATCTATGAAAATATAAGTGTTTGTTTGTTTGTTTATTATTTATTTATTATTTATTTATTATTTATTTATTATTTATTTATTATTTATTTATTATTTATTTATTATTTATTTATTATTTATTTATTATTTATT